TTTTTTTTTTTTTTTTATCAGTGACTGTGGTGTTTTTAATCAGGCTGTGAACCAAATCTAAAACATTTGTACCCACAGTCATTGTTTTGCTGATTTGTATGTATCTATATGTATGCCTGTTCACTAACGGGTGATCCTCCTGAACCTCAAGAAACATCACTTCATGCCACATGGTTCATTTTACAGATGTGGTCATTCACCTCCTCAGTCAAACAAGAGAAAATGTCTTGGCCTAAAACTTGATACGGTCATTATGAATGAAATAGTTTAGCCATGCGATGTGATCAACATGTGATCTTGAGCTTCAGGAGGATTCCCCCTTAACACTTACTGATGACTAACTTACAGACATCTCTGGTTTTAATGACTTTGGTTTTATGGTCCTATTGTCTGGTCCTCGTCCTACTGGAAGACATACTGGAGACACAGGATATACTTATCTCATTTGTTCTTTCTCCCTCCTTCCATCTCTACTTTGTGTGTCTCCTCCTGCAGCTGAGCCGTGCTGTAAAGCTCTGTACGACTTTGAGCCGGAGAACGAAGGAGAGCTGGCCTTCCACGAGGGTGACATCATCACCTTGGTCAATCGAATCGATGAGAACTGGTTTGAGGGAGCCATTCGTGGCATAACGGGATACTTCCCCAACAACTATGTCGAAGTGGTGGTACCTCTGCAACACTGAAAACAGCAAGGCAAGAGGGAAACCTGCAAGATGGAGAGGATGAAAATGGGGGATGCTAGTGGGCTATCGGCTCTCAATAACCAAAAGATATCTAATCTTTATTGTAATTAAAGGGTAAACCAAGACAGGGACCTAATTTGTACCTAAGAGTTAATTGAGTAAAGAGCTTTTTTTATTCTGTCAGATTATGTCAAGATTACATTTTGAAAAACCATAAGGACAGAGGGATGTTCAGCCAAAAAACGGCACCGTAATGTGAGCATTTACCATATCCCGAGTATTTACATTCATTCTCTATGCACCTGTGCACTTTCTACACTACACCTCCATCACCGGGACTGATGAAGCAGGAACAAGAGAGAATGACATCTGTAATGGCATGTTCAGCTGTATCCACTAACACTAAGAAGTGTACTTCTTAGTGCAAGTACTTTTTTTTTTTTTTTTTTTTTTTTTTTTTTTAAACTATATTCCTAACCCTATTTGATATTCACAAGATGCCATTCCTTGTTCTGTGTATTGTTGATATTGGTACTACACACATGAATTTAGTCTTCGACGATCACAGTTTTCACTTCTGTGCCTTCAGGCTTTAGTACTGTTGTCTTCATGGACTAGTTTGAGTCAACATGGAGGACCGGCTGCCCTCTGTCCATGTTTGAGACTATCCTCCACTGCCATCTGGTGGTTGTAAAGATCGCTCTTAGCTATTGGTTTGAGTGCCACTGTCATGCGGCCTCTGTCTCTTACCAAACCCACCTTTGGTGTCTTGTGTTGTACTTTTCTTCCAAATAGCTGGAGCCAGTCAACAAATAACATTGACTGACTGCTGTAGTAAATGTGTTTTCAATACTACACCAAAGCCGATCAGATAAACTCTGTGGCAGTTTTACAAACATTGGCAGTTTGTTTGAGACTAAAAAGTTGTATTATAGTCTATTCCCACGAGCTGGAGGCTTTCCATAAATATGCTTAGTTATGTCAACTTTTATCAATTGTTGCTACTTTAATGATTTACTTACTTTAAATTTACCGACAGCAATGTTTCTCACTACACTCCACTCTCTTTACTTTAAGCTTATTTCCGCCTTGGACGAGCCTTGGACGCCTTGCTGTTTGTCGTTAAACGGAAAAATATTCAATCCAGCATCATGCCTGTAATTCTGCAAAATTAAGTAACATTATTATATGCAAACCCGTTTAACTTTTTTGTATACTTCGCATTTTAAAGGGGAAGCTGACTTTGGTTTCCATTTGAGTGTAACAAAACAAAAATTTTTCAACCGCAAATATTCTGCAGCATTACACAAAAGCCATACGCGTCCTTCAGTTCCTCTATTTTCTCAGGCTGTATTGATGCTGCTGGCAGTGTCGCGCATAATGTTTTTGTGGGCTTTTTACCCAACCACTTGACAATGAATCTGTTTGTTTTCCCCACATAGTGCTGGGGCAAGCTTGGCATTGTTACTCTAACCTATAATTTGGAGCATGTAAATTAATCTGATGTGTTTTGTACCTGCCTCAGTTTTCAGGCTGAAACTGTGCACCAAACCTGACAGAAAATACTGCATAACTATCACCAAACAATTGTGTACCGAATTCACTAATAATGAGGAAGGCCTCGGCACAATAGCCAGTTTCAGTTTCAATTAAGTCTTTTACAAGCCGACTATGAGCTGTGAGAGTTTGTGCTCTTCACTAAAACACCAACTTTCTCTTCCTGTCATGATCCCCTTGTTAGACCCCGCCCCCACCCCACTCATCTCTCCCATCTCCGTTTAAACTGGGAGTGGAACAGACAGGTCTTTTCAGAAGGGAGGCTCACAGCAGTGGATTATGCCCTCCCTCCCCCAATGCTCTTTATTCACCACCTGCCCCCTGTACTCCTACCCCACTTTCTCATTATCTGCCCCATCCCAAATACCATGGTGCCTCTGGAGTCTCCTGGTCCTCTCCTGGAATAATGTCATTTTTTTTTTGTCATAGTTTTGTTTGCATGTCTCCAATGTTAATCATGTTATGTATAGGGGGCCGTCGTCAATGGCTGTGCTGAGTAATAGCTGTGTGGTTCAGGTGTGGGTTTACATGCCTCATTACACTAAATAAAAAGCCCTGAGTTTGAGAGGGGAGGAGAGGGTCAGGGGTTCAGGTTGAGCTATTATGCAGCTTGTATAATATTGATGATGAATAATGTCGTCCAAAGGGCTAAGATCAATTTTTGTGTGCAGCTGTCGTCACATCTGAAATAGTTCTTAATGCCGCGGCTGACATTTATTGCAACGCTACATTCTGTGATTGCTCGTATTACATCCATAACCACGAGTCTCTCAACTATGCAACATTGATGAATGAAGTATTATCAGACTTTTAAGCTTTATTTTATTATGCACAGTCTTTAATGGAATTTTCTGTGTTCAAATGTAACTGCTTTGCAGGAGTCTTCATTACAGCCTCTGTGTCTTACGCAACGCCTTATTTTTGTAACTGACACTGTGGGGAGGCTAAAAGTGGGATTATCCTGGATTATTTTTTGGATATATGGATTACCTCTGTACTAAGTGTAATCATTGTGTATAGTATACTTTTGTAACCATGTAACGGGAAATGAATGCTGCATTCACTTCTTCAAATAAATATTAAGTAAATTGGCTCCCAGTGTGTTTTCACAGCCCTGAAACTGAATTGACCTTTTTCAATTTATATAATTTAATGAAAGTATGTACACTGATGCAGAACCCATCACAGAGGTGTAGGATCATCCCCTTTTAAATGCGCCTGGTTCTTATTTATATCCATCAATTGACATTTGCGTAACTGCTCTTTTTTTGCTCGTTTTCTCTGTATATTTTGGACATTTATCTTCCAACCATCCGATGTCTAATCGGAACAGCCACCCATCTGCATGATCCCCCAGACACAGAAGGCTACAGCAGCCAGCTGTTGGATTATTGCCACAGCACTATCTCATCGGGGAAGGCGTGTCACTCTCCAAATTACTCAGCGCCCCTTTGTCCTCGGTCGGTGCCCAGCCAGCGACACTCATGGCGGCTGCACCCGTCAGGCAGCGCTCCGGGCCGGTGGGACCCCGGGCGCAGCTCCCGCCCTGCTACTACGAGGGATACCTGGAAAAGCGAGGACCGAAGGAAAAGGTAGGCTCGCCCCGGTGCAGTGCCATGTTGTTTCCAGTGCATGCTGAGTGGGTAGCGATGGTCAGTATGTGTGTGACTAGCACACCAGCTTATGATCCCCCATTCCCACAGAGCTGTCAACTTCCTTATTGTGTTAGAATGGGCGAGGCGAGACTGTACACTGGTGCTGGTGGGGAGCGGATCACAGATTTGTTGTCCTGTTGAGCCTGATTTTTGCAAGAATCTGACGGGGATAGTGTGCAACCATTCATTAACGGATCGCAATGTATGAATTGTGGAAGCCCGGTTGCTGTCAGACCTCGCATGTCATTTAAATCACATCGCTTGATGGATCTGTGGCTGTATCTTAATAACTAGGCATCTGTGTCACGTAAAAGACAGTATGTCTGCGAAGCATTTACATCACCCAGAATTCAATGCAAAATCAGAGAACACTCATTTTGACATATTGTTTTGACAGCCTGATCCCTGAAGTGCATCTCCAATATCTCAAATACAAAGTTGCATACAGTCAAAATATCAAACTCTTTTGCATATTGTTTTTAATTATTTATAAGGTGACAAATACGGAATGGGAT